GACCTATAATGTAAACAATAATGAGGAAAAAGCAAAAGGATAATGAAAACTGGTTCTTACCCTTTAGCGATGTCCAATCTTTGTGAGAAAATAAGGACACACAAGAAACAAGTATTAAAAAGGACATGCAGACACATATACACAAGCTACAGAGGTGTGATATAAGCTCAGAGGAGTGCTAAGAACAAGGAATGGGACTAGCTCTCATTTGCTCCATATCCCAGGGCCTAGCACAGTCCTTTGCACCTAATGGTTGCTCAAAATCTCTTTAATCTGTTGAGTGCCTACTAAGTGTCATTCGTTATATTAGGCATTAGAAGTTCAGAGACATGTAAAACATAATTCCTAACCTCAAGAAGCTCCTATGGGTTAGAAATGCTACAGAAGACTTCAAGACAGAGATGAGCCTTGGAGAAGAGAGAAGATTCAGGCAGGAATAAATGAGGTAAGAAGAAGGGGAATAAAGGCACTAGCACAAGAATGAAAACAATATTGCAGCTGATTACAGAGAGTGAATGGGATACTGGGTAGATTTTATCTCCCAAAGCAGAGAATTTATGTGGGAAGGAGAGAAAAGGCTGATGGATTAAAGAAAACCTATTTAATAACTTGGAAAGTTAATATGTGAAATAACTAAGTAGCACTATTTTAATTCTGAGAATGAACCTCACAGAAGGTATTTACGTTACAGCTAACTTGAGTAGTGGAAATAAACGAGTTGGTTCATGGCAATGCAATTTATTATAAGGATCATTAAGAAACAATTCCACCACATACCATTCTCTCTAATTACCGTAATTTTCTCCAGTCATTTTTATCGTCAATATGGGCCTTAGGGAAGTGCATAAAATTTATAATATGGCAGGCATTAGAAAAAACAAAGTGAGCTTTATTAGACATTTTCTTAGATTTTCTTAATAGTAATGACTGAATATGACAGGTATTTTAACTAATGGTGGTTTTACCAATTGTGTGAATTAGAATATATTAAATACTGCTTTGGGGAGGCAAAAGAAGTTATTAAAGAGTACTTAGGTGGGTTGAAAATGACAGAAAAGTATGTCCTACTCAGGCCTAGGGAAATCAGCTAATAGATAACATGAGGAGGTGGGGGGAGTTGCATTTCAAAGTAATTTTCTTTATGATAACTGTTTTAATGAATATAATTTTATTTCCTTGTTGCAGAATGAAGCCTTTAGTATATTATAGTGAAATGTGTTCAAGGTGGAAGATTTTGTATTATATACAATATAAATAAAAATAAATTAT